CATCCAGATCATGAATGAGGATGTTTAACCCTGTATTCACCCCTGGGGTATACCACTAGTGACTAGCCTACAACTAGACTTCCTGCAAATGATCACCACCCTGTCGACAGGGCCATTCAGCCACTATTCAGTCCAACTCACTTCTCAACCAGCCCAGACTTCATCAGCTTCCCTATGAGGACCTTAAGGAAGTCAGTGTTGAAAGCCTTCCTGAAGTCTAGGTAAAAAATAATCACTGCTGTCTCCTCATCTACCAGTCCAGTCATTTCACCATAGAAGTTTATCAAAGTTGGTCAAGCACATCTTCGCCTTGGTTACTCCTATGACTTTCTGATCCTTCATGTGCCCAGAACAGTTTCCAGGATTAGCTGCTCCATCACCTCCCAAGGACTGAGCTGAGGCTGACTAGCCTGGGCCCTTCTTCTTGCTCTTGTTAAAGATACAAATGACTTTTCCTCCAGTCTTCAAGTGTTTCTCCCAGTTGCCATGATCATTTGAAGACAATTGAGAGTAACCTTACAGTGACACAATTCAGCTACCCTTGCAGTTGTGGGTGCATCCCGCCAGGGCCCATGGACTTCTTTGTCACTTGGGTGAAGAAGTTGATTCCATCCAAGAACCTCCAGGATTGCCTATACCTTATTGTGTTGTCCCTCCTGTGCCAGTTGGGGTGGTTGAAGTTCCCCATGAGGACCTTCACAGCATATTTAGAAGCAAAAATTGTTAAAAGATGCATGGTGAGGGCCAAAGATATTTTCACAGTGCTGTGGAAATTCACATCCTTACATGTTTTCAACTGAAATTTTACATAGCTGCCTGAGGTACAGCAGCTAGTGTATGGATTCATAGCAAGTTTGAATCATTGTGAAACAGAAAAACACCCCAAATACTGAGTTCACTCACAATGGCATACTATTTGTTTCATGCAGTTTTCTTTATACCTTATTTTATTTTATTGTATTGTATTTTATTTTAGTATTTTTATAAAAACCATAATGTTTAAGGGAAACATTCTTAAAGGAAATATGACCAACAGAACCTATTCTTCTAGCCATAAACTGTGTTATCAGCCCCAGTCTAATGATCCAGGAGTGTTATTACTGTGGCTGAATACCACATCCATTTGTGAGATGCCCAGTACACCCCATTAGGTATGTGAGAAGTAAAGGGAGAGGGAGGTGCTGTGTAACATGTGGAACGAACGTTTGCTCTGCTCTGCTGGTTGTACGGGAAGTGCATGATCACAAATCACACACATCACATCACCTCATATATGGTTTTCTTCCTTGATACATTTGTCCCTAATGGTAGTACAGCTGCTCACCACAGCTCCCATGCCAGAGGACTTGTATCTTTTTTGGCTCAGCTCCCAGTCCCAAACTAATGTGTTCATCCAGTCATTCACTTGTTTTTCACATTAACGGGAAGCAAAGGTGCAAGTGCCTTCACAAAACTATAAACGTTAAAAACTGTATTCACAAGTTCATCATTGTTCTTTTCAGCTCAATCTTCAGCTAGAGTTTTGCCTGAGAAGTTTTGCTTTTATTTACTTTTGAAGCATTCTTAACTCATTTTCCTAAAGAAGACATGAAAGATTCAGCATTTTAAAAAAAAAAAAAACAAATTTGATGTCAAAGTAATCAAAACTAAAAATACATTAAGAAATATGGTAGAAGCAGTGCAATAAATAACAGGCCTAACCCACACCAATGTAAATTTATGTATTGCTGCTGAAGTAAATGAACCTATGCTAGGTTAGGCCAACACATCTGCTCAACTCTTCATTTAAAAAACTCATCTGGCTCTATTATTTTTCAGCTCCAGCGAATTTAGCCAGCTGTTGATATAGTTTGATGATGAGATTTTAAAACATTCTACAGGAGTCTTCAAAGACACTGCAGAAGTGTGGTGGTCATTTATGATGGTTAATTGTATTTCAACAGCTCTTAGAAAATCCAGGCTCCTGTTGCCTGAGCTCTGGCCTAATAAATATCAGAAGATAATCCCTCTACGGTTAAACTTCTGGTTTCACCCTGATCAATACTAGCAAGTTAAAAAGGTTTAGTTCTTGAGTATTCATGATATTATTGAGACCTATGCACACAATTTAAAGCATGTTCTGTTGACTTTACTAAGTGCTGAGCATGGCACTTAAAGCTAAAAGACCATCTATGTGCTGACCCCAGTATGAATGCTTTTCTTCATTAATACCTACAAAAAGTCATCATAGAACAAATATATATGGCTGGAGACTGAAGCAAACAAAAGGATGGGGAAAAACAGTAGTCAATTTGCCACACCTCACAGGTGATTAAGCAAATGAGTTAAAAATCAGGTAAATAAAACAGAATATCTAAATATCTGTTTTGCATTGGTATAGTGACACATTGATATATTGAGATGTGATGGCTTCTTTATCAGGAAAGCAGCTAGTGGAGTTCAAAGCTCGTAACAGGGTTTAGAAAATTGTTTAGAGATCTTTAATATCAATATTGCATGATCTACAAAATGAAACCATTCTATGATAGGATATGGTCCAGGGAAAAGGATGTAGGAGGAGAAAAAACAGGTACATGAGTTCATCAATAAAGTGGCCATGCCCTGAATGTACGTGTGCACTTCATCACCTTAAAAAAGTTCTGCAGTTACCTGAGTTTCTTTGACATCTCCTCTTAGATTTCCTAGGGCATCATTGCATTTTGAAACAAAAGCATCCATGCCCCGCTGAGCATGGGGAAGAGATTATTAGTTGAAATTATTTATTTCAGTCATATTACTGTCTTCATTCCTCTTGGATTTCCTTGTCCATGAGATGGTAAGAAATAGACCCAGTGCTCAGCTATGACTGCTCAGAGCAGCATGGGCATTCCCAGGAATGCTGTACAGACAGAAAGAAATATTTACCTGAACTTGGCAGGAAATCATTCAGGCACCAGTTTTGAAGTGCATGGGCATGGAAGGGCTTGGAGCAAACAAAGCTCCTAACCCATCTCTTTTTTGCCCGAGAACTACAGTTGCTCTTTTCCTGCAGATGCTGGGACTGAGTACTCCACATGCTCTGAAGGTGCTTCACAACCCTAAAATAGGAAAGGCACAATAGCCCATGGAAAATTCTCCCACCTTTTCCAGGTGAATACAAAGGACTCTTATTGCTGTGACTTTTGAGGGTGAATGGTCAACTGCCTCTCTTAAATGCCTTTGAAAATCCTACCATGTTTCCACTTCAGTTAATCTCAAAGTTGATTTCCAAAGAAGAGGAAAGTATTTGCTATAAATACTAAACCAACTGAAATGCCTCACTTTGCAAATGGTTTCAGAGCCAAATAAGGGCTGTCTGGAAGCAAGCCTGATTCTCACCTTTCTGTGTCAGGTTATTTCTTCCTGGGCAAGAAAGGTTGCTGTCAAAGGGAATAGCTTTAATATTTTTCAGTGATTTGGACATGGGGAGAAAGGTGCAGAAAGAAAAAGATGGCAGTGGGATGTTAAAGCTACATTAAAGGGCACAAGAAGCTTGGCCAGCTTTCAGAATTAACTGCTTAACTGAATGCCAAGACTGTGATTTTAGTATCTCAGGCTAAGGAGGGTATTGTTAACAGAAACGGTCTCTTTTAAGAATCTAGATGAGGAATCTTATGTGTAGGAAAGTTTAGGAAAACTACACTAATTGTAACTGTCCCTTGCTGAGCAGCCCCTGGGGTCCCATGAAGTCTTTGCAGCAGTGGTCTGTAAGTGCCTACAGCCACCTCTTCATGAAAGTACAATCACTGACAAAAGGAAATTGCATCATCCAGCCTTTCTTCTTCTTTGTCAAGAAAAGGGGAAGTCTCACAGTAGTAATGTTAATGGCAGCAGGATTAATTCAAGGAAGTTTAGTAATGTTTCTTTAAAAATGGGTCATCTAGCAGAGAAACTATAAGGAGCTGAACACTGACTGCCAACCTGACCTTGTATTCCTGACTCAGACATGAGCAGGGTGAGGACCAGCCTCTATAGAACACCAAAAAAGCAGCAAGATTGTGAAGAGAACAATGAAGTAAAGAGCTACCAGGAACTGTAAATTTCCCTTTCCTGACAATGTTTGCTGCTCTCTCCACTCTCCCCCCATCCCCTTCCCCCCCTCCAATGAGGTTCCTTCATGCTTAGGATGTCCAGGCTCTTAAGAGTTGATTTGGTTTTGGCAAGTGTGAAAAAGTGGTTATTGTTGGTGAATATTGAAAATACCTCTAAAATTTTCCATGGTTAAATGACTGTCAGAAAGTCACATTCAGGAATGGCTATTACATAAATACATGCTGATCTTCGTGGCCACTGTTGGGGAAGAAATTCCATATGCCATGGTAGAAAATACAAGACCTTTTCATGATTACTTAACCCACGAGTCAAAGAGATTTAGGATCAATAACTGAGCCTGAGGGTGTTCTGCAGAGCAATGAATGAAATATGGGTCCATTCATATTAATTAAGGGAATATGATTCATTGATATTCATGACGATTAGAGGTAAAAAATATTTTCTCAGGTCCTCTTAGGTCTTCTTAGGTCAATTGTTCTTTCCCCCCCCCCCCCTTTATCTTTTCCATATTGCAACACTTCTCCTCACAGCCTGCCCTATAGTTTTGGAAATCCTGCTCTTATTTATGCCTATTTATCCCCTAAAGGAAGGTAGAAGAGTTAAAATCTTCCCAGTTAAAACCCTGTACTTGACTTGAATCTCAGGGCACTGCAGAACCATTTCCTGTGATTGCAAAAGAGAGAGATAAAATTCCACACTGGTGGGAATTAACAGAAATTAGATCAAAGATTTCCAGACAATTAAGAGTCCTAACCCAAAATGTCCTTTGCTGCTAATATTTTTGCTTCGATCTTTTTTTTTTTTTTTCTTTTGCGGGCAAACAAAGCAGTGCTTCATACAGGAAGCCAAATTTGCCTGTCAAAAACAATCCAAATTCAAAGCGTAACAAGAGCTGATCCGCATTTGCATGCACTGCAATTCCCCATGCAGATTTGTACAACCCCGCAAGCAGAGGACTCAGTAGGTGCCTAGCTGGCGCTCTGTAGGCGCGCTTCCCCAGCTGACACATGCAGGACTAGCAAGGTGGACGGAATTAGGGGGTTTGGGATGTGCTCTTCAGCCGTGAAGCGGTTTAGCATGTAGTTTTGGTTTGGGAGCTGGACAGAACCGGCGGGCAGAGGAGGCGATGCAGAGCAAGCCCCGGCGCAACGTCGGGGCTCTGGCGCGACTGCTGAGCTCTCTCGGGGGGCTGTCGCGGGGGCCGAGAGCTCCCGTCCTCCATCAGGAGCATGAGGCTGAGCAGAAGCCTCCATCTCCCGGGCTATAAGAGCCAGGCGAGGCCTGAGGTGGGGCTACCGTCAGCTGGAAGTGCCTCCCTGGAAGCAGGTACGTGCCCGCGCCCTCCGCATTTGGGAGGACTTGCGGCGGGGTGACAGCGACAGGGCACGGCTCGGAGTCTGTCCCTGCGGCCGCGGGGTGGAGCCCAGCTCTGCTCGGCTCGGCTCAGCGCTGCAGCCCGGGCACTCCCCGCGTCCCCTGCCAGCCACCGCCGCCGCAGCTGCGAGCGCCAGTGAGGCGCCAGCATCCGCTCGGTGCGGCTCTCCGGGCGGCGGCGGGGGCTGCCCGGGGCCGGTCTGACCGTGCCTCCTGCTCCTTCTTAGTAGTCGGCACAAATCGCCTCCCTCCTGCCCCCCGCGGCGAGGAGGGCCACCCCCGCGGAGCCCTCCCTCTTCCCTCCCTTCGCCCGCCCTCCTCCCGTAGCTGCACACCCCGAGGAAGGGCTTGTTTTCCTGCCCGGATGATGAATTTCTCCGCAAGGTCATCTCTGCCCGCGGCGGCGGCGTGCCCGCGGCTCCCCGGGCGCTGCCGCGGAGGTAAGGCGCGAGGGGGAGGCGGTTGGGTCGTGAGAACCTGCCGGCACATACACACTCGCACAGCAAGTTTATTTGGCGCCGGGGAGGAGCGCGGTGGGTGCGCGGACAGGTGCCCGGGGCACGGTGGGGCAGGGGGCGGCCTCGCCTTACCGGGTGTGCCGGACCGGGCCCGGCAGCGCTCCTCGAGGAGCCGGCCCCGCTCGGCAGCGGTGTGGGTTGCGGCCGCCCCGCCGAGCGGGCACCCGGGGCTGGAGGCGACCGGGCCGGGTCAGCCCAGAGGAGGCCTCTCTAATCCTCTTTACCGGCTCTTGGAAGCGGGTTTGCCTCCCAAATGTCCGAGAGCGCGGAAAACTTAAGGTAGTGATTGTAACAGTAATTGTAATAAGGTGCTCCCACCGGGTCGGGGGGCTGCGGCCGGACAGGCTGGGGGGATGCGCGGCGTGGTCGCCACGGCAACGTGTCGGTGGCCGCGGTGTCGCAGCGCGGAAGGTGCCCCTGAGGGCCCCTCGCCGCGGGGCTCTCGGAGAAGGGGTCTCCCCTGGGGCCCGCCCCGCCACCTCTCTGAGAGAAGCCGGGCGGGGACAGAGGTGCGGGGACACCCATGTGCCCCCTGACCGGGGTGCGGAAACACGGGGCTCTCGGGGGTGCTGCGCTGAGAGTCGGACCGTGGCCCGCTAAGGGTGCGAGCCGGGATATTGCAGTCGAGTAACTACGTGCCCGGTGGTGCTCGCCCGTGTCAGACCCGCACTGCCGGTTGGCTAGACGAGAGGCGCGGAGCAACCTGGCTTGGGGCGATAGGGCCGGTCACAAAACCCCGGTGGACCTTGTCCTTTTCCTGCTGAAGCTGGTGACAAAACTACGGATGCTATTGCCAGCTCCCACTCTGCGACTCGTGTTATCCGCACTGAACCTGCCTTTTGTGCCCCACAGAGGCCTAGGCTCCATTAACTCTTATTTCCTTCACCCTTCTTTTTCTCTTGGGAGAAGATAACAATGCTGCTGGTGGATTTGTTAGAGTCATAAGGAATTATTATAATCCCGTAGTCTAAACTCTTCCATAGTATAAAGCCTAGACTATTCTCCAGTGAGTCGAGGGTATGGCCCACCAGCCTCTTCAAACAGTTTTGGTTTAATGAGTCCCAACGATGGGGAATTGACTGCATTCCTGGATAATTGGCTCTGATTGTTAATCTCGTTGTTAAATGTTGGCATCTTTTTTCCTTTTTGAACTTTTCTGACTTCATCTTCTAGCTACTGGATCTTGTAATATCTTTGTCTGTCAGATTAAATAGCTGTCTAGTTTCAGATCGTCTTTCTCTGCTCAAGTATTTAAAGGCAGTAATTAAATAGCCACTTAACTTTGAGATAAATAGGGTTCCTTTGGTCTCTCCCTGGAATGCCAATGCATTCCCCAGGAGAAACCCAGAGCTCTGCTGCTCTTTTCCAAGCCCCCACTGTTTTCCTCACTGGCCACCGACGCTGCACAGTGGATTCCAGGAAGGCTCTTGCTAATGTCACGTGCAGAGATAATAACCTCGTGTTCAGTATTCCCCTGTCTATTCACCCAGTGGTACAAACTTTTCTTTCCCACGGCTACACGGTGGGAACTGATGTGCTTTCTGTTAGTTACATGCAGTGATCCCTCTGTTTCTTTGCAGGCCGGGGTTTTCTCACATGCTGGCTGCCTGTCCTGAAAGGGGCATTTAAATTAAATGCTTACTGTTATAATTATAATGCTATATTATAAGTAAATGCTATATGCTTAACTTTGGATGTGCCTATCTTAAGTGGATTTTTCCCTCATTCTCCTATCACTTCACTTCCAGAGAATCTGCAGCTCGGGAATTACAATAGAACTCTGGTGTTTCTCCCTCTAGAAGTCAGCTGAGTTTTTTCCTGGGACCACTGTGCTAAAAACATCTTCCTCCTTCTTGCTAGTATTCTCTCCAGATGACCTTAAAGTTATTTGTAGTTTACTCGGGAGTAGGTTATACTGAGTAATGTAGAAACTGCAAACTGAAAGTGCCCATTAGAGTGAATTGGTTTTGTAACTGCTTTCATTCTGCTGTGCCTCCAAGTGGTGGTGAGAGAGAGATTTGCTTTCCTGTTTTACAGAACTGCAAATCCAACTGATGAGTATGATGTCTAGGCTGATACATATATTGTCATTATGCTGAGATTCTTTAACTTGAATTTTGTGAGCTTTGCTTACTCTGGAGTGTGCTTAAGCCTGGATTTATAGCTCTTTAGAAAGCACAGTGTTCAAGAGTAGGGACCAGAGGTGAGTGGGTTTGGCAGGATATTATCAAGTTTTCCAGTAGCATGTAGCAGCTCAAAGGGGACTGAAAAGATGAGATTTCAGTAGTTTGAAGGCACCTGCTGTGGGAGAGGGTACAAAATAATACAGGTCTTGGAAGTGGGTACTTTTTTTGTTAGGGTTGTTGAGATTTGGTTGTTTTGGGATATTTTTTTGGGGGGGTGGGAGGTTGTAACCACTGTGACTTATCCTGTCTATGACTGTAATGCACGTTGAGGGAGAGTGATGTAAGAGGTCCAAAGATCAAAGACCTCCCTTGTAGATGCAGACCATCCCATGAAGTAAGTGGAGTGATGAGCCTTGTGTATAAGGTTTATCTGCATGAATGAAGACAGCAGGTTCCAGCCTTTAGAATGACCTAATTGTCTTTGAACTGTTAAAATTAAGGAGTACATTCTGATTGTGTAATAACTTAAGTGTCACAACAGTGAGCTTTTCTGAAATTTCACAAGGATTTTTCTGTTTTCTTTTCAAGACCCTGAAAATGTGTATGGAAAAGATTGCAGTAAGTATAGAAGTAATGGGTTAAGTATAAACAGTGGTGAAAAAGCAGTGGTGCTTTAAAAGGTACTAAAATCATTACTGAGCTCAAATATCTGATCTGATTGAACAGAGTAACCCTGTAAGCTCTAGAATTATGGTGAATTTTCTATAGGCTGGTGTCAGCATCTTGGGAGTTGTTTCTTATTTATATAATTGTATATGCCCCCCTCCTCCCCCCAACATGAAATTTTATTACCTGGAAGATGTCTTTCCTACTTCCATTCAAACTGAGCTTTTCCTCCCCAAAATGGGCTCATCTCTCTGGATTTTTTTTTTTCCCGCAACATGTGCTTTCCTTTCTCAAGGTTGCGTATTCAATTCCTTTTGCGATCAGAAGAGCGTGCATATGTTTCCATAGGGTGACTGGTCCCAAAACTTACATATTTTGAGTCATAATGCCAATTCAGAGTCAGCCCAGCATTAAGAACAGTGGCTGTTAATCTTACAAGGCCAGGAGAGACAGAAAGTAGGATTCTGGGGTCTCAAACTTAGTGTCATATGAAGACTATACAGCGAGTGCCAGGTTAGCGTTAGGCAGATTTTGTTAGCACAGTATGTTGGCAGTAGTAAATTTGTCAGATTTAGGTTCTACAACTGTTACTGACACCTTTATTTTTAACATCAATTCCCTCCTTCAGATGCAGCTGAAGCTAAGGAGAACCTGATTATATTAAGAACATCCTGCCTCTGATTTGTTTGTGCAATTGTCTCTGAAGGAGGAGTAAAAAGCAAGTTGCATGTAGTCTTACAGCTACAGAGCAAAATGTTGTACCTTGTACTACTGTGTTTCTAGCACTGCATCATTTTGTAATTTACGACTCCCACATTAAAAGCAGAGGTGTGATGTAGGCTGAACCTGTTGCCTTTGAGGATTTAAGAGCAATCCTGGATTAAGAGCTGATATTATCTGAGGGCATGTAATGACTTTGTAGCTGATAAAACTTTCATACCTGCCCTACAGGGTTATGAACTGATTCTATTTGTGCAAAATTCTTTAAAATCAGTTGCATTGTTACTGGCAGTACTCTGATATTATTATGGAATATGAGAAATATGACAAGTAACCCAGGATTGCTTCTTAGTCACAAATTGGTTGCCTAATTGTAAGCCTTGATACCATGTAACAAGATGTCTAAACTAATCCCCTATTTGGACTTATATGTTGGATCATTTAGGTAAATATCACCCTCTTGAGAGTCAGAACAAAACAAAGACTGATAATATTTATTGGGTAAAAACAAATTCTGGGTATGTTCTGAATGAAATTAAATCGCTTTCCAGTAGGAAAAGCTTTTGAGTGAGATTTGAGCACAGTTTAATTCTGCAAATAGCGCAACTGTATAAAGGGACTAGGTATGTCTGTTTATTATACATGGACTTTGAACTCAGTGGCAGTTCTATAGAAACAAAGACTTGTACTGATTAAAAATTTAATCACAGATGATCAGTTGCTTACTAAAGTTGCTCAATTTTGTTTCTTTGAGTTGATGGCTCAGAATTTGTGTTTGTAAATTGGCCGCAGACCCAAAAGGGCAGAGGTGTCTGCACACTGAGTAAATGGGAGAAAAAACACACCACCACCGTTTGCAACTTCATGCAGGGTGTAGGGAAGAGAGGTGAAGGGAAAGGTGGGCACCAAAGGAGTAACAATT